GACAGATACAAACCAAACCAACTCCACTGCCATGGAGTCAATTCCAACAATAGCAATCATATAGGACACAGTAGAACCTCCTGATAAGGTTTCCAAGGCTGTAAATTTTAATAGAAGCTGACTGCCACATCTGTCTTTCATGGAGCAGCTGGTGGGTTTGAGCTGCCAATGTTTTGGTTAGCAGATGAATACTTTATCCACTGTGCCATGAAGGCATACCAGATACACACAGAGTTTTCAAAAGTGTATCAAAGTTTCAGCAACTTATTTTGGTATAATAAACATGAACACATACAGGTTTCCCCACTATCTGAAAGTAGAACATTCTTATGAAACTTCTAATAAGCCAAAAGGCATACAGCAAAATATACATACGCATAGAAAAAGACTAAAAGAATATATACCAATAGTTAAGAGCAGTTACATCTAGATGGTAGCATTTTTGTTTCCTTTATATTTTTGTCTGTCTTCTAAATTTTTCTTATATTTAAAGAAAACGTATTTTTTAACTAGGCATGCATAGTCAGTTAACCAGAGATGTAAAAATGCAAATAATTATTTTAATAGTATAAACACTTGATATAATGTTATCAGCACTTCTTAGGAAAAATATGAACAGCACATACCTGTATCCTCTTTTTCACACCATTGATTGGAATTTGGTTGTTTTTGTGGAGTTAACAATCTAAAACACAATTGATATATTTTTATATTGTTTGTTGAACTGCTATTCATAATTATTTCAAAATTACAGCATTTACTTATTTTTAAAAGTTACCTGAATTGCATGAAATTCTGTGAAATTTTAATAGCAGGAACTTGTGAATATTTTAAAGGGTTATTCACAGTGGAGTCATTAAATACCTGAACAACAACAAAAAAAAAATTAAGTGTTAAAATTAACTTCAAAAAATATTTTAAGATTGGTTTGCCATGGCTACTCAGGGTTCTCTCATTTTATTAGCACTGTCATTATCATCATCATCATCAGTATTGACAACGACAATCATTAACTGAAACCACTGTATTTGGAATATTAAGTCAAATACTGGAAAACAAAGAAGGCTTTAGAGTCTTAAGGATTTTGACATTTTTGATAATTGTAAACAACTATGCGTGGTAGTATTTCTACAATTAGTAAACTGGTCCATATTCTAGATTAATCAAGTGAATTTTATCATTTTCTGAACCTGATTTCTATGTCTCACTATCTTCTGTAACTTCTTAAATTGAACATAAGAAAGGAAAAAAATATGTTAAAAGATTAAAACTGGAAATTTTCATACAAATATGTACTTATAGAAGTGCTAATATTTTATTTTTATCTTTTAATTAAATTGTAGTTAATCTTTAAATCTAGTCCTGGTGTGGCGCAGGTGCGCTAATGCGTCATACTGCAAAGTCATTTGAACTGCAAGGTCAGTGGTTCAAGCTCATCAGCTGCTCCTTGGAAATCCTACACTGGGTCGCTATGGGTCAGAATTGACTCGATGGCACTTCACAACACACCAAACTTTAAATCTAAAAGGCTGCTCAGTAATGTTTGCACTGTATGTGATTCATTTATTTTGAAGGGTCTCTGACTTTCATTT